CACCAGATGGCCTGGAATAAAACTAGGGGCACTCATTATCCAGATTCAGATGAAAGACTTTTTAGAAGCTGTCTGATGTGAACTGATTTTTACTAATGACATAAACCATTTATTCTCTATAAACCTCTCATCGGTGAGCTTTGCTGCATGCATATAGCTTTCTATCTTTAAAAAAAAAGTCTTTTAATACTGTCCATCAAGATCATGCACTTTTCCAAATATGCTTATGAAATCAAGACTTGGAAGTGAAATATTGGGTTTTGTAGCCTAGTCCAGGTTCCTGGAGGACCCTGGGTCTACATGGACAAATGCCAATGCTAAGTCATGAACCAATGGTCTACAATCAAACTCAGTGCATTGTTCAAACTCAGCGAACTCTAGAAAAATGAGTCTTTTTAAAAAATGTCATAACACTCTTTACGTATATGTACTGGAACTTACATTAGACAAAAAGCCAAGAGTAGGGGACTTGGGAAAAAAAACTACATCTTTACATTAAATTTATTTTCATCTCATATTCAATGTAAGTAAAAACAATCAGTAGAAATTGTCAAGGCAAATATAACCCAAAGCACTGTCACCAAACTTCAAACTAATGTTTTGGGGTTGTGAAAAACAAATAAAATAATTATTCTGCTTTTCTACGGTCCTCAAATCCTAAAGCAACTATGTTTGGATTTGAATTCAGGAGTGACAGTCTAATGCTGTCTCTAAGACATGGCTTATCTGCAGTTGAATTGTGACAGTCCTCACATGGATGCAGGGCTCTGGGAGCCCCAGAAGATTCACATACAGAAAAACTGTTGCAGGACCTTCTTACCAATCACCACACCTCATGCCTCCTGCCGTGTAAGTCTTTATGAGTGCTCAGCATCACATAAAGAAAGTCACTTTATTCACATATAACCTTCCCACAAATCTACCTGAGCTCTTGGGATGGACTTCCATGTAGTTTTATATGCAGTGTAGGTAACTTCCTTTGCAGCTGGAACTGTGATTCTCCGTGCTGACCACCATGCTATCACAGCATAAACATTCATAGATTATTAGGTTAAACAATGTACAAGTTGTTGCCTTCATTAGAATGTAAAAGACTACAAAAGAGGCCAAGATGGAACCACCGTGAAAGCTGTGACATTTATTGAAAGGGAAACATATGTTTGCAAATCACAATGATGCATACATGATATGGTTCACAGCAATGTCCCAATTAGGCTCTTCACAGACTTGCCACATACAGTCCCTCCACAAAAACAAAACAAAACAAAACTCAAAGGGGGAAAGGTTATTTTGTCATTATTTTTACAAATCCAGATGGTAGTTTTTCAATCAGAAAATCTGTGCTTGACCCCTTATCTCAGCTTGTGGGTCACAACTTCTTTGCGCGTCTAAGGACCCTTTCATGGCAGTCCCATATCAGATACCTGGCATGTCAGAGAGTCATATTATGATTCATAACAGTAGCAAAATTACTGTTATAAAGTAGAAACTAAAATAATATTGTGGTTGGGGGTCATCACAACATAAAAACCAGCATTAAAGGGTTGCAGCATTAGGAAGGTTGTGACTCACTGACATAGAAGAACACATTGATGTCTCAACCCCATTCACAAACCTCTATATGGGGACAACTTTTCAATGGATGACTTTAATAACTCAAATTGTATCTCATAACATGCTCAGCCAATGGGGCAGCAACTGTAATAAATGGTAGACTGTTTAATATATATCTCATTGAACATGCTCCCTTGTTTTTGAGACTTAATACAGTATTTTATTTTTGAAATAAAAAAATTTACCTAATAAAAGATATTACACAGCATATATCTATTAAAATGCTCAGTTTAAATATTCAGAAGTTCATTAATTAGATTTTGGTCCAGAGGAAGAATTTGAGGAAAACTGTAAAAAGAAAAAAAAAGTTGTTCTTTTTTTTTAATAGAGGAAAAAAGATCACCCAGCTCTTATTGTGGAATTTAGCCACTTATTTTCTCTTAACAAGTATCAATAAAATGAAACTTTATTTCCAGAACTTAAACACTTTAAAAAAGAAAATATCTATTTGGGTAAGTAAAAAAGAGAGAAGAAGGTTGATCATTTAGTGCATTAACCCATTTTCTAGGCTACCTGCCGTTTTCTGCCCCCTTTCGAGTGGCAGAAATATCGAAACTACTGGTGATTGATTGTGCAAGGAAGTTACTGGGTTTTATCTCATTAAAACCTAACAATACAAAGCAGTAGAGAATTTTAAAATCAATAATTTGATACTGGAGAATATCTGATGTAGGAAAATGTAATTAATAGTAAGATTCATTGTAAGAGTGAAATCAGAATATTCTAGAAACCAAAGCCTAATGTGATTTGCTCTGAACAACCTGTTGTTGCTTGGTAAAGCATGCTTGTATGCACTCCTATGGTTTTATTCTGTTACTAGCTTATCTCATGTACAAATTTCCCAGTCCCGCCACTGGAGACTGGGTCGTCACTTCATTTTTGTGTCCCTGGCTCCACTACTATTTTATTTGCTTGGATCCTTGGAAGTGTGGAGCAGCTCCTCAGCCAGGACAAGTTACTCATCGCAGATCTGAGTGATGCATTTCTGCTCAATTTTATTTTCTTCAAGTTCTCTTTTTGCTGTTCTCCAAAGCCCTACTCAAGAGAACCATTTGCAATACTCAGTGATAAAAATATTCAGAGTTGATGGTGTCAGTTCTGAGACAGGTGTCCCTGCTCACTGGTGTGAGTGGCTTCTTTTCACAACTTAGGAAAGAGCTGGCTGATTCCTCATCATCTCCATCATCACTTGGCAGGATTCATCGCAGATGCAGAGATGAGGGAAGCCATTTGCGCTCTTACCTTGTGCAATACAGGACTACACACATCTGCCACGTCCACTTCCTGAACATATATATCTGATGTTGTTATAAAAGCAGGAACACTAACTAAATTTCTACATGTTTGCCCATATGACAATTTCTCCAGACGAGAAAAGTGCTGGTCTTTATGAACCCGATCACCTGGTGCTGGTGGTGCTGCTGCTGCTGGTGGTGGTGTGTGTATCCCAGAAGACAATCTCAGATGTTGTTCCTCAGATGCCATTCATCTTAGTTGTGTGAAAAAAAAGAGTCTCTCACTAACCTGGAGTTCATCAAATAGGCCAGGCTAGCTCCAGAGACCCTACTGTCCTTAACTCCCTAACACTGGATTACAAGGACTTACCACCCTGTTATCCTCTATAAATGAGGATTCTGGGGTCTAACTCAGCCCTGTGAGCTTGCAAGGGCAGCATCTTCCTGACTGAGCTACCTCCGTAGCCTATTGTAGTTAAATCAAATTCTCTTCATTCATCTGCTAATCACTCATTGAACTCCTATTGTGACCGCACAAGGTAGCTTTTCTGAGCTCAGAAAGAAAGCAAAAGTGTCTATTTAATGGACAGCAGCAGGACATGTCAATATATCCTTGAATTCTCTAGTCTTAAGGTAATCTCTTCCACATAAGAGAAAATGAATAAAATAACTGAAATCTAGGGAGAGAGAGAGTGAGTGTCTGCTAATGCCATGCCTAAGCCAAAGACTGAGAATAGGTAGAAGCTGGGGAACCCTTAAGCCTCTTAAGAAGTGGAGGGGATGCTTATTTTTGCTATTTATGGACAAGAGAAAAGAAGCTTTAAGTTTCAGAATTATTTGCAATGATTCCTCAAGTTGTACTACAGCTTAGGCAGCTAGCAGTGTCACCACAGGAAAACACTCCTGGGGTAATTCTAGAATTTGAACTAAGATATGTGCAATTTCAAAGAAAAAACTTACTGCTCACGGTCATCCTGTAGTTCAAACTACCAACCATGTTGCAAACTTCTCTCATCTAAGAAACTGCTTTATCTGAACTGAGAAACTGTATTGTAGCCAAAGAATTCAGGTTTTGTTTTTTTCTGAGATTTCTGGCTTTATTCTTCCCTTAAATTGCTATTTTCTATGTCTAGACATCTCTCTCTCCTCCCTTCCTTCATCATTGTGTGTGTGTGTGTGTGTAAGTCAGAGATGTCCTCTATATGAATGTGCTGGAGTGCTTGCGTGCATGCATGCATGCATGCATATGTGCATGGAGGCCAGACCTTGTTTTGGTTTCTCTATTTTGTTTCAACACAGGGTCTCTCATTGGCCTTCCATGGGGCTCTTGTTTTTTCTTCCTCCCTAGTGCTGACAATATAACCGCACATCACCACACCTGGCTTTTTATATGGGTTCTGGGCTTCAAACACTGGTCCTCATGCTTGCATGGTACAAACTTGACCAACTAAGCTATCTCATAGTCCCCTCTGATTTGCTTACTGAGATAGACTCTCATTACATAACCTAGGCTGGCCTTAAACTTGGAATTCTTCAGGGATTATGGATGCATACCGTACTGGGCAAAGCAACATTTTGCATAAGTGAGATATCTTCATACACCCCCATTTTTTTTAAGATGAAGAAAATTTTGCTATTATTCTCTAAACCTCACAATATTATAAACTAAGACTCTGTCACTTATGACTTAATTTTCTGGGAACTGAATCATCGACATGACCAAGATTTGAGTCTTGCTGTTATCTTTTCATCTTTTACAGTTAGATATTAAGGAAATCACCAATGTTTAGATAAATGTGGTAAAAGCACAATGAAAAATTGACTCTTGAAGATAAGTCCCTATAGATGCAATTCAAGGTCAGAATTCCTTAGATATCTTCTTACCTCGTCTGGATTTAATACAAAGGAGTTAGCAAGTTTCTTTTCATTGGTTCTCTTCCCAAATTTTATTCTTCTAGCTTTACCTAAGACATCTTTCTGACACACTGGCTATTCTACCATCCTAAATTGTGACTCTTAACTTAGGGAAATTATTGTTAATTTCAAATTCTAATAATGGCATGGAGACAAGATTTAGATTTAGCCAAATAATTGAAGTCGGACATCATTCAAATTGAAAATAAAGCTTGAAAGAACCCAAGGGCCCTTTTTGGTCACAGAGGATTTTATTCTATTGCCTCTGGGGAAAATAATAGATTTTTCAGAAATTGGGTCCTTGCTAGCCACAGCTCAACAAATGCATGCAAATGTACATCTGCGAAATAAATCTGCCACAGATGCAGCACCTGGAAATGAGGTCTCAACCAGGAAGCCGTTTATTATCACAATAAATCATATCAGTAATCTATGCAGACACCCACACTTCTTTAAAAAAAACTAACAGGTATTTTTATAGATCATCTTATTTGAAAAGGTGACGAGCAGATGATTGTATGCAGCTCATAAGGGACAACTCACACGTGCTCTTAGAACTTAATTTCCTTACATTTGTATTTAAGCCCAAGAAAGGCTTTGCACAGTGCCAAAATTCATCTCTGAAGGCAGCTCAACTGGTTAAACTTTAGATTTTAAAACACGGTATTATGCCATGAAGGCCTCCGGAGACAATCCCTTCTAAATTGCCTACCTATTTCTAGAGACAAAGCGAACATCAATCTCTTGCCTTTGAAAGTTCCCTGTCCAGGTCCATAATTATAGTGACACAAGCTTGCATCTTTGCTGTACTTCTGAGTAGTGAACGGATGGTTGTTCCATAGTCCAGTATAGCTGAGAGTCTCTTCAAACTTGCCAGCCTCAGATGCTTGTTAACATTGTTAAATCACCTATAGCCTTTTCTCGACGAAGTTTAGACCCCATCATCATGGCTATACTTTTTTAACAGAAAAGCAAACTACCAACACCCAAACTAAATAATGATGATAAAGAAAAAAAATATTCCCCTGTTTTCTTCCCCCTCCCTCTCCTTTTTCTTTATTCTCCTTAAGTACAGATGTGTGGACAGGGCTCCTCTTGCCTGTTTCCGAGGCCTACTTCCCTGTCTACCATCTTGTATCAGAAGCAATTGGAGGGGTGCAGAATGAGATAAGGGAAGGTGGGCAAGGGCAAAGAAGAATATAGAGAGCTGATATGTAACAGGACATGGTACTTCTAACGTAATAGTCATCCCTCCACCAGATTACATTTTAAAAGTCAGAAAAGAATTTCTTCCTTAATCTGTCAGTGTTATGGGTATACTTATATGTGAAACCACTATAAAAAGTACCTAAAGTAAGAGTTCCACCAAACTAGTTTATGTAGAATTAAATAAAATACTGTAAGTTAATGAAAACAAGGCCCTATACAAAGGAAAATAACATGTATGTTAAAATATAAAATGAAAGTTACTGTTCTTGAGACAGAGGCTAATTTGAAAGCTAATATAATTAAGTAGCTATTGTAAGAAACCTATTTTTATGTAGTATACTTAAAATTAGTAACTCCCCACAAGTCTTAGTCAACCCCAACTATGATGATGAAAAATTCAAAAAGGAGAAAAATTCCAAGAGATGTATCAGACTTCTTCCCACATGGAGTGTCCATTGAAAACCAAGTTCACCATATTTCCATAGGTGGAATGTAACTGCCTTACTCCTGACTATAACAAGTGAGTTACTCGGTTTACTGAGTTGATAATTCCAAAAATTTCCGAGCAAAAAGTTAAGCTGATGAGTGTTTGCAGAGTCACCATCCAGTTCCCTTTGTGAAAGAAGGTTCTAAATACGCCCCTTTCCAGTCGTCAGCACCTCATCAGTCCGCCACGGGCCTCTCAAAAATGATATCTAGCGGTTCTGTGATGACTTCGGCCAGTTCATTAAGTACTCTAGGATGCCGGCCATTGGGACCTGTGGATTTGAACATATCTGGGTTACTGAGGTTATGCTTTACCCCGTCTTCCCCAAGTCCATCACGGATGACTGTTCCTGTCTTCCAGCCAGGCTTGTACCTTTCTGGTTACCACGCAGACTTTTGAAAAACAGCTTTCAGCACCTCTGCTCTTTATGAACTCCTTTAAGATAATAATTGAAGAATAACACACTATATTCTTCTTAAGTCCTTGGTTTACTTTTAAATAGTCTCCTTTTTTCCCCTCTTGTATGTCCCTTCTTAGAAAAGGAGAAAATGAAAGCCTCAAATCTAACTTAAAACAGTTCAGATTTCTCAATCACGCACGTTATTCAATAATACACTAGCAACTTTTAATAATGGAGCCTTAGTCAACATCGTGCAGAGGCTCCAAATGTTAATGGCTGCCTATCTCACCTGCAAAGGCAACTTTTGGTATTCAACTTGTAACTGTCGCCACTGAGTGCTAATTCCAGAATGCATCTTCCAAAATAAAGATGATTCACAATCATCTTTAATCATTATCATTTGTATGCATAAACAATGATTTCTTCTGCAAGGCATTTCAGAACTGTGAGCTGGAGGGAGACAAATAAGGATTTCTGTGAAAGCAATAGCAGAGCAAAATAGATTTGCTGTGTGGTCACTGGTGTCCAGGGCCTCGGGTTTACATTACATTAATCATTTCCAAGGTCTTACAGGTGTTAACAGCTTTAACCCCTTTATTGTCACACTGACTCCTCTGAAACTGAAGACAGGCACAGATGATAGGTTTCTGCCCATCTGTTACACTCTGCTGTATTCTGAGAATCCTGACAGCCTCAGGATGGACAAAGAGGAGCTGGAGGAAAGGAGAGGTTAAAGAGACAAAGACACCTAACACTTGCCTCTGGCTTTCCTGTTTCTTGGATCAAACATGAAGTTTGATTTTTTGGTTTTTTTGTTTTGTTTTGTTTTTTTCTGTTTGTTTGCTTTGCGTTTGTTGTTTATTAGAAAAGGTTCTTTGGGGAAAGGTTGAAGGTGTTTTTGTTTATTTTTATTTTTTTATTTTTTGTTTTGTTTTGTTTCCCAGTTTACCTCAATTCATCCTTATACTGAGGTTTATTTTTGAAACATAACAATGCCCCTCAAACACAAGTCATTTTGCAGATTCACAAAGATTCTTTTAAAGAATGATTCTACGCATCTCTCTAAGACCTCTCAGAACATGCCTTTTACCCCCTTGCTCTTGCAATGGCTGCCTGCTGGCTGCAACTCAGAGCTAATATGCCATTAACTATTAGTGTGGGAGACACCATAATCAGGCCATCTAAGCTGGTAGGAAGAATTACTGACCGAGCTTAATCATTCTCCTTTTAGAGAGAAAACTATTTATAGCCCTCTGGTTTGGTATTTGACTCTCACTTAGGAAAAAAACTTACTAATAATTAATATATTCAAAAAGTCACCTTTAAAACAACCTAACTTAATTCAATGCCTCTGTTAAATTCACCTCCTGTTAACATCTGTGATCAAGCAATTTTAATCTGTCTTAACATGCAGAGTTGTTGGGATGGTCTGGAGGAGTAGAGAAGAGTGTGGTGAAATCCTAAAGAGTAGAGATTATTGAAACACAAAGGGAAAGATGCTTCATTTTTTAAATGCTGTAGTATACAAATAAATAGGGTAATAACAACAACTGTCGTATTTATTATGTCATGCAAAATAACTAGCTGTTAGTATTAGGAAGAAAGCAAGTTGTCAGAGCCTCAAGCTAGGATGTTAGCAGTCCTGAGGAGAAAGGAAGACCTTGGCTGAGAAAGAACAGGTCCATAACGCACCTACCCAGGGTGAGGCAGAACTCAGAATGAAGTCAGCTGAATGGCCTTCATGCCCTCACATGTTTAACAGACATGTGGAGAGAATAAATAAATGTCTTTGGATAGTTTATTGTGCTTCAAATATTGACACCCTCCACATTAAACTCATCTGGAGACTGGACGCATGAACTCACTTCACAAATCTGACCGCAATCCAACAACCTCCAACATTCCTCCTGCTCTTGGTTCCACAAAAGCAAATCAAATTCATCCGACAAGCCCAGTCTTGCTATTTGCTCTTTCTCATTCCCAAGGGAAGAGGGTGGGAGGCAGACAAACGGGATTTCCACAACTGGGGCATGAAGAGTTTCAAGTTGGGAGAGCAGTAATTAGAAGAGCCCGTGTTGCCACACAACTTGGGAAATGTTAAGATTCTCCATGTTACTGATGCTCTACTGTGCTCTTATGGCTGATAGACACTGTGATATCCCACAGCCTCATCCTCACAGGTCCCAATCATGTGGAAGAAAAACTCAGAATCTTGACAAGCTAAGCAAACGATTAAGAGATCTTAGAATCAAACATGCATTTGTTCGTACAGATCTCAAACCTTTCTTTTTTTTTTAATAGCCCATTTTCCCCTGAATTACCTGGCATTCTCATACAAGACAAGTGGGTCTCTTTCCACTCCACCAAGGAAAGTATCAATATATTCACAGTCGTGTATGTCTTCTTTTTTGGTTAGTGAGCACGTGGCCCGAATAAGCCAGAACGTGAGATGGACATGTATATACATGGCAGGTACAGAGATCACCTAACATTTAAGAGGTCTGGCCTTCCATTCTTAGTACCCCAAAAAGGGTTGAGGGGGGTAAAGGGAATGGAGGAAAAATGAAAAGAAGATCCATTAAAGTAATAGTGTATCTGGTGGCCTCTCAAACTTCTTCAAATACAATCTTAGGATGAATGAATGCTGCATTGTTCTTGGGCCTTAAAACAGCTGTTGCTATCTTGTGTTTAAGGACTGGATGTGCCGAAAGATTAAAGGACGGCCATGAAGTGGGGTGGCACACGCCCACACACCCAGGGCTCGAAATTAGACACATGACATTCAGAAGCCCAAGGCCATCCTCAGCTACATGGTGAATTGGAGATCAGCCTAGCTGCAAAAGACTTTATCTCAGAGAGTGGGGGTAGAGAAGGAGGGAGGGAGGGAGGGAGGGAGGGAGGGAAGGAGGAAGGTGCAGAGGGAAAGTAGGAATATTTAGTTTCCTGATAGATACGGTTTCACACATCCATATTCTCAGTATTTGGAAAGTAGATGCAGACTAATTTCTGTAAAATGGAGACTGGCTCCAACCATAAAATCATTTTGTTGTTACTTCATAACTGTAATTTTGCTACAGCTATGAATCATAATGTAAAATCTAATATACAGGATATCTGGTCTATAATCCCTGTGGGGATCACAACCTAATGGTTGAGAACCCCCATTCTAAGCAAAGTCCTACCTTTCCCAGTCCAATAATAACAGGAGACATGGCATGGTAGAATGTCAGAACCTTAGCTTTAGTAGGTCATGAAGCTAAAAATGAAATCTGTCACCAACTACCTAGGGATTTCAACTTTGGTTGTCTTCTTTTATCATCTAACAGAATATCATCTTCCTTAGTAAGTTTTTTCTGTGAGACAGTTGCTACTCCTCTCAACCCCCAATACATGGAAAGTACAGAGATACTTAATTGTTCAGGAGGACGACTTTTTTAACTTGAAAAACAAAATATGGAGACTGTGTGACTATTGGATTTGCATCTGAAGTTGTTCTGTAGAGCAATATCAAAGTAGTAACTCACTTCTCAGGATGGGTTAGCTTGCATGACACTCTGGTTGCCTGTAATTAGGAGAAGAACTATAAGCTCAAAAGAGAACAGACTTACAGCTGCCTAAAAATTAGAATAATCAACTGGGAAAAATAAGATCTCAAGAAATTTTGAGTTTTAAGTATAGAATCATGGCTTCTTTGTGATCTGGACTGTGTCTCCTGCCCTCACCACACCTCGTTTCTCAGATTAGGATTATAGCATTGGTAGAGATATCCAGAACTATTTATAGTATATTATTCTTATATATAATTTCTCATCAGAATAAGCTTCTGTTATGTATGGAATTTTAATCTAGAAAGTGATTTTCCTTCTCCTGCATAGAGAAAAGGTGACATGGGTCACTAAGCTCCTGTGCGTCCTGATGGTCACTTTTAGTTTTTCCCTTCAGCATGCTGCTTGAGGATACTCATTGGCCTCTGGCCCCAACAGGGAAGAAGATGCAATTTGATACTGTCCAAAGAGCTAATATATAAAACACCTGTTTTATATTTCAGAGAAATCTTACAGAATAGACTTCCTTAGGTTCTATAGACAAGAACAATGCCTTCTTTTTCTTTAGAAACAAGTATGTAAAATGTCCTCTGTCAAATGAAGAACGGGTCCTGTTGATTATCCAATCTGTCTCCTTCATGTTGACTTAATGTTCCCTTTCTGGAGCAAATTAGATAGATTAGAAGGAGCTGCCTCTCCATGCCTCCTCTGGACATACATTTCTAATCTTCCCTTCCCGACTTATCTACAGCTTTTCGGCAAATGCAAACTCTCCTAGAGAGGCTGCCTGAGAATTTTCCTGCACACTTATTATTCATAAAACTCTCAGAAACACACTCGGACATTCAAAAAGCAAAAACATCTTTGTCTATGCTATCCTCGGGGCATTAACTGATGTTATAATTTTTCCAACTGAACAGTTATGTAAATTCACAACTTAAAAAGCTGCTTTGCAGACCTCAGTGCTGAGCACTCTGAGTGAGAGGACTTCCCCCACACAGACCCGCCTGAAGGCCTGTGGTCAGCCAGGGACAGCCAGTACTGCAGGAACTTCTAGAGGCCTGGAGTCAGAGCCTCCTCTAGCTGCTCCATCAGTAACAAAGGGTCAGGAATGTAATGTAACTGTGGGGGATTCAGCATGAAGCTTTCTGTTGTTTTGCAATAATCAGTAGCCAGTCAGAACAGGAAGGCAAGGTTAGGTCATTTCTCTTCTCAGAGCTTTAGTAGTGTAGCTGAGGAAGCAAAATGGAAGTAAGTTCAGAATAGACGACAGGCTTAGCCACAGCCCCAGACTGAGGGGAAGGGACACTGTGGTGTCAACACAGG